AACCAGGACACTATTTCCGGTTTTGCAGAGTTTGTAAACTGAATCGTTCTTAAACCGGACTGCTCTTAAACCAAGGTACCACTGTATAAAATATAGCTAATAAATAAGGGCAAAATATAATGCAGATGACATGGGATTCATCTTTTATCTCCTCCCTTCTGAATCCCCTGCAACCTCTCAATTTGTTCTGCGGGATACCCAAACCCTGCATTGGGCAGAGCACCATTTGGGGGGGGAGGGGAACTGCACAATTGGATATCACCCTAAACAAATAACTTGAGTTGCTTATTTTAAGACACAGTTCATGCACACAGCTGCTCAGAAATATGCCTCATTGAGTTCAATAGGGTTTACTGCAAGGTAGGTGGGCGTCGGATTGCAGTCTTAATCCATTTCATGGGGCGATGAAAAAGGAAGACGAAGAAGTGAGAAAGGGCAATCCAATAAATGTTCATTTGCTAATGAGAAAAAAGAAAATGTTTATTGCCCAATATTTTCAAAATACCTTCTGGGAATACTTCAAAAGACTGAAATTATTTCCATTGGAATTTGCACTTCTGATATGTTGCATAATTGCTCATGACATTTGGCCTTTGCTGGTAAGCTGCATTAAAGGAATGTATGAGGGGGGAAAGAATTCACTCCTTATTACACCCTTAATTTGCCATTATTTAGTAAATAAATTAAGTGGTTTGTTGCCGGAGCATTTGCTTTCACAAAATTAGATAATTAAATCTGCTATGGTGTGGTGTATGAGACATTCAGAAAGCCCAGTATAAAGCACAACCAATGCTTTCTTTATTAAGGGAGGGGTGGGGGACAGACTTGGAGTTATGAACATGAATACTATTATATTTTGCCCTACTTTTCCGTGCTAGTGCATCTACATAAATCAGGCAAGCACAGACAGAGCTAAGAACCAACCTGAATACTACAAAGAACAAAGGAGGCTTCAGATCTGTGAGGTTTATAATTTTGCCTTTTGAAAAATAATCCTGTGATTTATACAGAAAACTCTGTCTTTGTCCATTTGCTCTCCTGATCCATAGCAATAAATATTTAGTGCTCAGAGGCTTAAGAGCTATCTTTTTGTCCAGCTAACTCAGTGCTGGTGTTGGTCTTACCATCACTAGCTTTATGTATTGTCCTTTATCTGTCCCTTTCTCTCTGGGAAGGGGGGTATGATGACTCCTGTGTCCTCCCTACATACAGCACCATTTGTCTCCTTTCAAAACTTTTCTCATTAGTCCCTCTTGGTGCAATACAGAGTGACACAATTGAAAGCAATGGGTGGCATTCAACTTAATTTTACTCTAAGTAGACCCATTGAAACTAATGAACATAATTTAGTTAGGTCCATAAATTTTGGTGGGTTTACTCTTAGTAAAACTTGGTTGGATACCACCCAGTGTTGCCTTTAATGTGCACATCCACAAATGAATTTAGAAGGCAGTTATCATTTTAGAATTGTCTTTCTTTTCTTTCCAAGACTTGGGCGAATATGTCAATTTCAGTTTCTCATTTTCCCATCTTAAATTCAGTTTGCCAGATTTCCTCATCAGTTTGTCTTAAAAACAAACAAACAATAAAGTCCTTTTGAAAATTCAACAGCAATAACTATAATAACATACATATTTTTTACTACAATTTTGCTTGACACACACATTTTTGCAAGGCAATTTCCTTCAATCCAATTTTTACTAATATATGCCTTTCGATGCACACTTTACCCCAGTGAATTCATTTTTTGCACATTACTTGGCTGGAGAACTTCATTGCAAAATTCAGAGAAGTGTGAACTTCAGAGATGTTTTGGTTTGTATATGTACAGAATAACTAAATTGGATCTCCCCCATCCCCGTTCTCCATGCAGATTAGTCCTCCACATGTAGGGGCTACACCTCAATTGTAAAATGTGTTATGGTTTGCCCGTTTAAAATCCCAATTTCAACCCCTGACGTATTTTGGGTAGGCTCTCTAGTTGGTCACAGGACTAGGGAAGGCTCGGAAATCTTCAAGAGCCACTGCCAGACCATACATGCTGGAACACTGGTACAAAGGAGTTCCTTGTATCTTATGAAACAAAGGATTTGACAGTAAGAGCTGGCAATGCAGCAATGGCAAGACTACATTTTCAGGCCTTCATTTAGGTCAAGATATCAGCAGCTATGGTATTTGAATAACTGGTTGACATTTAGCACACACATTTATTTTACAGTAGAGAGAAATGGCAGAAGAGTATCTTCTCAAGGCAGAACCAGAGGTTACTCTAAATACACCTGAATTCCTATAAAAATAAGTACATTTCTATCTTATGGGTGAGGAGGGTACTGCTTAAAAACAATCACCTATGTTTCTGCCAAGGAAGAAAAGAAGAGCTTCACAAATAAAAGCTTCAAGGAATAATCCTGTGGCTTCAGCTTCACACTGAAGTTGCATGTGGGAAAAATCAACAATGTGCGGGTGGAGGACGTATTTTCAAATGAATTTTAAATCCCTTGCAGCCACTATTGACAGCATTTTATTAGGTTACGTATAATTGCAGCCCACAGAATGAAAATGTGTTTGTTTCAGCTAATCTCCTGGTATGTAGGCCAGTTCTGCCCCCTTTTTTGGGGGGGGGGGTCCTTTGTCTCCGTCGGTGTCTGTCAAAGAGTGTCAGAGTCCATTCTGTTGACCAGTTTCCAGATGGTCTCCGGCTTGGCAGATTTGATATGCCACGTCACATAAAAAGCTAGTAAAACTGAAGTGGCATTCACTCCGTACAATGCTTTGATTATCAGCACACATACAGAGAGTGGCATCACACCTCCCTGCCAAGCGGTTAGCGCCCATTGTTCCCATTGCCCAAATCCAGTTCAGCACTGCTTTAACATTTTGTCCCTCATGCCATGCACATTTAGCTTATCAATCGGTAAGCTGAGAGCACACGGGGCGGAGGGTGGGAATAATGAGATAATAAAGCCCCAGCTAAGAAAAAAAGCAATTGTGGCAAGTTTAAAGGGCAACAGATATTTGCGCAGAAATACTTGTTTCTTTTAATGAAGAAGTAAGTACAGCTATTAAAAATAGATCTTTTATTAACACAAAATGAATCCAGTCTTGAGAATGCCCCAGTGTGGACAGAACAACAAGTGCAATGAATTCTGGGGAACTATGGGCTATTTCTTAGGTACCTTCCAAAATCCTACAGCAGTGTGATGGGAGCAGATTTTCCATGGGATTCATCCCATGGTGTTGCTATACTATTTGAAGTCCTGCAGTCATGTAGGTGGGACCAGTAAGCAAGGCAAAATATCTGTTTCTGGTTAGTGCTATTTTTGCACGATTTTATCCATACAGTGGTACCTCGGGTTACATACGCTCCAGGTTACAGACTCTGCTAACCCAGAAATATTACCTCAGGTTAAGAACTTTGCTTCAGGATGAGAACAGTTTCAGGTTAAGAACAGACCTCCAGAACAAATTAAGTTCTTAACCCAAGGTACCACTATAATTCCATTCTACTTCTGCACACATCTGCACTTTTTTATTTTAAGGTATATTTTCCAAGTACTTATTTGAATATGCCTTTACATTTTTATTGATATCCATATTTTCTCTCAAAATACTTAATTGAATGTGCATTTGGTATGGGCAATGGAAATATGACACTCAGAGAACTGTGAAATCTGTTGGATAGCTTGTGACTGTTTCTTTGAGCTGTTCTGGAATTGCTGTTGTTACACTATGAATTCCTTTGTGCTGTATTCTCTGTTTTACTGAATTTGTATGTAGCCATTTTACTGTATTTTTAATTTATTTATTTTTTTAAAGAAAAAAATCAGTTGGATAGGAAAGTTTCTGGTCACACAACAGTCCAAGAGGCACATAAAGAAGGCTCCCCCAACCTAGTACCTTTCGGAAGTTGTTGTGCTACAGTTCTTGTCAGTCCCAGCAAGCATGACTTCCCATGGTCAGGGATGATGGGAGTTGCAGCCCAACCACCTCTTTGGTACACTAGGTTGAAAATGGCTGCTGAAAAGAAATGTGCAAATATCAGATCCTCAAGCATCCTTAGGGCCAAACATGTGAGGCTTAATTGGAAGGCAATGCCCAACCAGACTCAGGGAAAACAATGCTACTAAAACTGAAGTGGCCTTCACTCCATACAATGTTTTGATTATAGACACCCCCAACCCTTTTCTTTCTCACATAGATGAGAAGCTTTAAATTCAAGGACTGTAGTCATCATTATCATCATAATCATTTTATTTGTATGCCACCTTTCCATAATTAAAACAATGCTCAAGGCGGCTTACAACATGACAAGATTTACATACCGTATTTTTCGCTCGATAACACGCACCTGACCATAACGCGCACATAGTTTTTAGAGGAGGAAAACATGGGGGAAAAAATTCTGAATGAAACAGTGGATGTATGATTTTTGTGGTTCATGCTGTGGACATGTGATTTGATGGTGAGTTTGGGGTAGCCCAATGCAAAAATCCTGAGAATCCATGTGGATCTGTGCTTTGTAACCACGTTTTTGCACCATTGCAGCCCCAGGCAACAGTGGGTGCGTGATTTTTTTGGTGCAGGCTGTAGCCATGGACATGCTATGTGATCTGATGGTGAATTTGGGGTGACCAAGTGTAAAGATCCTGAGGATCCATGTGGATCCATCCTTTGTAACCACGTTTTTGTACCATTGCAGCCCCAGGCAACAGTGGGTGCGTGATTTTTTTGGTGCAGGCTGTAGCCATGGTCATGCTATGTGATCTGATGGTGAATTTGGGGTGACCCAATGCAAAGATCCTGAGGATCCATGTGGATCCGTGCTTTGTAACCACGTTTTAAGTGGGGAGGGAAGGAAAAACACAGAAGGGACAAGGAGCACGAGAGGGGTGTGTGGAGAAGCAGCTGGCTAAGAATGCAGGAGAGGGATTTAATGGGAGGGAGGAAAGGAAGGCAAAAGTCCCCCCCACCCACCCAAGCCAGCCCTCTCTCTCTCTCTCCTCTCTCTCTCTCTCTCCCCCCCCACCTGCATGTTTTCCGGCTGCCTGGAATGCTTCCCTGGACACAGCAGCAGCAGCACCGGAGCACGGAGAGGAATTAGAAGGAAGGACGCGATCCTTTCCTTTCCCCTCTGCTTGCCAGGAGGGGAGGGGATTTCCCTGCTCTTTGTTCTGTTTGAGCAAACAGAAACCGAAACAGAAGAGGGTGGGCAGTAAGACCCTGAGGCAGAATGCAGGAAAGCAGCAGCTTCCTCTTTTCAGGCTTCCCTTCTCCCGTGATGGCGCGATATGATTTTTGCCTGATTTTTGCCCCTGCACTCGGGACAGTCGGCTCCAGGGTCCACACATTCGCTCAATAACATGCACAGACATTTCCCCTTACTTTTTAGGAGAAAAAAATTCCTGTGTGTTATAGAGGGGGAAATACGGTAATTACCAACATAACAAAAGTCACAAGCAATAAATGAAACACGTCAAAAAGTACACAACCAAATAGAAAACAATTTCCACATAAATCACAAAATCTAAAACTAAGAATACAGCATTAATATCAATCACAATTTAAAATGACAGAGATAAATGACAGAGATAAAAAATAAAAGCAATTCAAAAAACAAAAACAGAGCCTTCTCTGCCCAGGAGCAGCAGCAGTAGCAGCAGCAGTCCTTTATGGAGCCTGCCAGGCCCCACCCCAAGGCAGGTAGAGAGAAGCAGGGCATGGCCCTTCAGGCTCCCAGCAGGTCAGTCCTCAAAGGAGGCTTCATTGCAGAGTATGAAATTTCTGATTCAGAACCTTATCAAGAAAGCTGAAGACCAAGAACAAAGATGCAGCCACCTCCTTTTTCTGTAGCTCTTCATTTCTGGGGGCATTCTGTTTTTCTAGTCCTTTTAATGCAACATTCCCTGGACCCAAGGTGAAAGAGAACAGAGCAATGAATGTATGTTTTTTCCCTAACTTAGCCATCTAGCCTCCATCCAGGTTAGCATGGGTCATTATTAAAATTCAGTGCCATGTTCCAGCCAGGCAAAAATGCTCAAAGGGTGTGACCTTGGGAGACGGAGTGCAGCTGGGAAGGAATCCTGAGGGCCAGAGAGGGAGGCTCCTGTGGCGTTTGCCAGTTTGTTTAGAGCCTGTCTGTATAGGGTAAAAAGAAAGGGTTAAAAATGTAGACCAATAGGAAAGCTGGAGGCGGAGCCTACATGTGTATAAAAGGGCTTAGCCCGAGGTTTGTTTGAGCTGTTGGTGGGTAGTTGGTTGGTTTTAGTGGGTTGGCTGGTTGGGAAAGGCAGTTGGAGAAGCAGTTGGCAGGCAGTTGGAAATAGAGAGACAGTTAGGGCAATGGGTTTTTGAGTGAGGGGAGGTAGAAGAGATAGAGGAACAACATTTGGAATGCCGTAAAAGTTCATTTGTGTCCGAAATAAAATACACTCTTCTTTATTAACTTGGGAACCTGACTGAGACTGAAGTGATTGTACTGGGGAGGACCTGGTTGGTGGCAGCGGATTAGTGGTGTACGGGTCAATAGTCCGTGAGGCAACCGGGGGCTCCATATGAACGCCACAGCTCCCCACTCCTACTTTATGCTTTATAGGGACAGCATGACATGAACCCACAGAAAAACAGCTAGCATGGCACTCAAGTGATATTTCAAAAGGGCCTAACGCCACTAAGGAATGTATCACTCTCATTGGAAAACTGGCATTCATGTTTTAGAAATCCGTTCCAGGAAACTTTATTGTTGTTGACTAGTCAGCTAGCCGAGGGTGATTTAAGTAGCATAATTCTCTTCAGCTGTGTTTTAATATGCAGAGGTAATTCTCCAAAACTGAATCTGTGGATGAGAGCTAAGCAGATTTGCCTTAAATACTCTTAATATGATCAACATCACTTTCACTTGCTTCCCCCCCTCACCATTTTTTGGGGTATGTAATGCATGCAAATATGATAATAGCTCAATACATTTTTAAAAAATATTCCCTAGCTATCAAGTCTGCTCATTTGGTGTACAGGAAGAAGAAAATATGTCCCTGATACTCTGTAATGGGTGCACGCTATAGAGAAACGTTTGGAGGGAAGTGATGTGCTTAACATTAATTTTAAGCAAAGAGAAGGGGGAGTAAATTAAACAGCTTCACAAGAGTGATAGCCCGGACACGTGACCGAATGCAAATATTTAATTTTTAATTAAATCTTTTCTTTGTTTAAACTTTATTACCATTTTTAAATATTCAGTATCATAGCATCCCTCCTCCTTCCATCTCACCCTTCCTAACTCATCTTATCACACCTTGTAGATATATACATAGTAGAGAAAGGGCAAACAGAAGAGAGATATAAAAGAGTAAAGTAATATCAAAGGAAAAGGAAGGGGGAAGGCAGAGGAGGGAGGGAATGGAAGGAATAAAAAGGAATACAAGAGGCACAGGCAGTGAAGCATAATGTCAATGGTAGACAACACAAAGGCCATCAATATGCTCTGTTGCTGCATCCTCTGAAGTCAGGAGGTTACGCAAGAAACTCTGTTACTTTTGCATACTAGATGTGCTACACCAGCTTATCATTTCTCTATCCAGTGTTCAAACTTGGGGTATCCTTGGAGCTTTCAGGGCCTTCTAAGACACAGGCATTATACTGCCAAACTACATTCCAGAAAATGATTGTAAACCGCCTGGTGATCTTTGGATTTAGGACAATATAGCAATTTAAATTTAAATCTGCCCTTGGTAATCCTGTTTAACCAAGTCAAGCTTATAGTATTTGCATATGAAACTGTCTTTTACTGAGACAGGTTAATGGATCATCTAGTAGGGTTGCCATACTAGAGCAAAAAAGAGGACACATTTGCAGACTTCTTCTTTTAAATAGTACTTTTTCTTATCCATTCTTAAGGAAATCAGCCCTGAGTGCTCGCTGGAAGGACAGATCGTGAAGCTGAAACTCCAATACTTTGGCCACCTCATGAGAAGAGAAGACTCCCTGGAAAAGACCCTGGTGTTGGGAAAGATGGAGGGCACAAGGAGAAGGAGACGACAGAGGACGAGATGGTTGGACAGTGTTCTCCAAGCTACAAACATGAGTCTGACCAAACTGCGGGAGGCAGTGGAAGACAGAAGTGCCTGGCGTGCTCTGGTCCATGGGGTCACGAAGAGTTGGACACGACTAAATGACTAAACAACAACAACTTTTAAGTATGGATCGCTAGGACCACTCTACCCATGAGAAAGAGGATGTGTCCTGGAAAAAGAGGACATATGCAGCCTGGTGTTGTCTACCAAACAGTTCTCCAGGGTCTCTGGCAGAGGTCTTTAACATCACCTCCTACTTGGCCACACAGCTGGAGTTCCTGGGGACTGAATGTGGGAACTTTTGCATTCAAAGTACATGCCCTACCATTCAGCTATGTCCTGTTCCCATTCACAACTCAAATAAAGCCTTGAAGCATGTGGTGGTAGTGATCCTAATACTAATGCAAGGTCTATCAATACATGGCCTGATAAAGTACATTTCCCATTTTTTGTGACTTCCATTGTATTACTACATGAAATGCAGAAAGACACATTCACATTACATGGCCAACAAGAAAAAGAGCACACACAGCTGCTGGTGCCATCTGTGTAGACCAGCTTCTAGCCAAAATAATATTTCCCTAAGAGTTTCCAGTTGTTGGTAATAGGAGGTAATATGGATATGACTCTGTATCAGGAAGTAGAACACGAGAGTAGTAGCCTTGGCTCCATTACATGGTTTGTTATTGACAAAAATTATAATGAGTCAGTAGATATGGCTTATATATTCTTGGTTTCTGTTTGTAACGTTTCCCCTCATAAAACCTGGCTGGATAGCAAGTCCAAAATGAAGCGACTCTCTGCCAGAGACATCCAGCCATATGTGCCTCTGCTGAGCCATCTGTAGACCATTCCATATGGCAGTTGTTTTAGTTTCACCAGATTTTGGACTCAAGTTCCATAAGAAGCACAAGTTTTTTAAAAAAAAAATCGGGGGGGGGGGAAGAATCATCACCCATTTTTCTCCCATATGATGATAAGCTGTTATTACTGCTGGAGCAGATGCTTCCAGCGACAGACCAGTCATAACCTGGAGAGCATCAAGAGCCAATGAAAATTATGATCCAACCCAATCTGAGGCTATAGAATCAAATCAAAAGATTGCTTTCCTACACAGAATTCCATATGTATACTGTAATGTAAGCCTGTGTAGCTTGAGGACCACCAAGCTGAACACAACTGAATGGTCATGTATGTAATTACATCATAGGTAATAATAATAAAAATAAATGCTGTCATTGAAATACTAGCTGCCCAGGTTGCTGAAATAAAGGAAATTATCCTACCAAAGACTCCACCATTTGTCACTTTTTCTCAGTGTCACGACAGAAGTGTGATATAAATCAGGCTGTAAGATATCTATCAATTAGGAATGGGCCAAGCAGCTAATTGCATTCAGTTTTGGTGTTGCAGACTCTTGATTATAGGTCCAGTCCACCCTGTTCCATCCCACTGTACACATTATATGTGCATCTTTAATGCAAAATACACACTTTTCAATATTTTTCAGTGCATTTGCCAGTAAAATGCACATTTTGCAAACATCTTTTTGTAAAAAAAAATAAATGTATTTTTGTGTGCATTTTTTTCACCACCCCACTCCTGAAAAAGCATTCCCAATTGGGAGTGCATAATTCAATTGGAAGATGCCTTCTGAGCTACAAACAAGTTGGGGAGCATCAGACTGTGTCAAGTCACTGCAAAAAGCACCTCGAGCAAATTCCGCCTCCATTTCTAGTCAAAATCCCATATCACCACCAACAAGGCATCCCTAATGGGTATTCAAACTGCTCAATTCTGTCCTATCAAACAGTGGACCATTTCCTTTCAATAAAGTTCTAGCCTTCTTGTTGTCAGAAGGTTTGTGTGATTATGTTGAGACTATAGCAAGAAAGAGCACAAAACATTTCCACTTCTCCTTCATTTTACTGCACCCTTCTCCGTGCAGTCATTCTGGAAAGCCCTTATCATTGACATATATATGTTGCACACAGCTAGTTCTGACAGTTATGAAGAATGAAAGACATAGCAAATGCAATTCAGAATTCAGGAATGATGGGGAAGTATCTATCCTACAGATGTGGATCACATTGGAATCACATCTGGGTTAGGGAATTGACATCTTAAAGATCACTCTGAATCTCCTGACTATGCTAACTGTTGGAATTGTGTGTGTGTGTGTGTGTGTGTGTGTGTGTGTATTGCTGATATTTGAGTGTTAAGATTTTAATATAACACTCCATTTACAAGACATTCACTTTAATGAGAAGGGTAGGGGTGAGAAGAAGGAATCAGGCAAGGTACTAATTGCTTGTTCTGAAAAATATTCACACCTGTGATTCACAAAGAGTATTACAGAAGATTTGTGAAGGTGATTGAAAATTAACCAGCTCACACTACATTAAAATCTAACCTAAAGCATGAGAACTATGCTTTTTATTGCAACAGAACAAATTTCAATTTCAAAAAATATATAAAAGGTAAAGGGACCCCTGACCATTAGGTCCAGTCGTGACCGACTCTGGGGTTGCGGCGCTCATCTCGCTTTATTGGCTGAGGGAGCCGGTGTACAGCTTCCAGGTCATGTGGCCAGCATGACTAAGCCGCTTCTGGCGAACCAGAGCAGCGCACGGAAACACCGTTTACCTTCCCGCCAGAGCAGTACCTATTTATCTACCTGCACTAGGTTGGCAGGAGCAGGGACTGAGCAACGGGAGCTCACCCCGTCGCAGGGATTCGAACCGCTGACCTTCTGATCGGCAAGCCCTAGGCTCTGTGGTTTAACCCACAGCGCCACCCACGTCCCACCAAAAAATATATACTCATCCTTAATTTCTAGGCTCCTCATGTGTTACTATGGGGAAAAATAAGCCCAGATGTTTTCTGCCATAGAAATGAGATGTTTAGGGTGTTAACCCAGTTAGATCTACCCCACTACAAGAGAGTCAATAAAGTGTTTTACTTGGATGGACCAGAGAAATCTCCATTCCACCATGAAGATCACCAAATGACTTTAGGACTACCAGCATCTTTCAGCCTGAGCTCATAATGTTAGATTAACCATATGTATGCTACCCTAAATTATCTAGAGAAAGGGTAGGACATCACTCGCTCGCTTCCCTCCAGCATTATGATACATACAAATTCTCTTCCTGTATTATCACTCCTGTGAAGTAGGCTTCACAGGATTACTGGAGATTCATATATGCCATCTTGGCTGCCCAAATGGCATATGCCCAAAGATGGAAAGAATAAACAGTCCCAATGAAAGAAGATTGGTAACTAAAACTGATGGAATACGCAGAGATAGTGAAACTTACGAGACGAATAAGAGAACAAGATGAGAGACCTTTATTTAACATAATGGAAAAAAATTTGTTGAATATATGAAGACAAATTGTAAACAATTAAAAATGTTAGGAGGATTGACATAAACGCGAACAGTAAAAAACAACAGATTAAATTCATAAATAGATTGGAATTGGTTATGCATTAACCTTGTGCTATAAAATAAAAAAATGCAGAGAGGAGGGGAGGGCAGTCAAATAAAATGTTGATTTTTGTTTAGATTTAATTTTTGTTGTAGAAACATTGTAAAATGAAGAATTGGGGGGGGGGGGATAAAATATATTAAAAAACGGATAAGTCTCCAGCTGACAAATATACTGGGAAATAGTTTCACATGCAAAGGGGAGATGGCAGTTAAATGTCAGGAATGCATTGTCTGCACGGTACAATTCCATGTTCATTGATTTTGCAGTATTCATTTCACTTTTACAGCCTTATCTCGGATACATCGTCAACTATTAGGCAAATTAAATGTAGAATCTCTAGACTATTCAGCATGCGGGAGGGGGTTATCTGTGTGTCGTGGTCTGTGCTCTAAGTCTAATTATGGATCCTCTTTTGAAAAAAGGAAAGAAAATGAAAATACATTAACTATTTTAGAAGACATCTGAATTCAGGCAGCCCTGTCCAAGGAAGTTTTTAATGGTTGATGTTTTATTGTGTTTTTAATATTTTGTTAGGAGCCATCCACAGTGGCTGGGCAACCTAGTCAGATGGGTGGCTAATTAATAGTTGTTGTTGTTGTTGTTGTAGTAGTAGTAATTCCTTTGTTTTAAGAACATGAGCATTTGTAGATTGCAGTCCACTTCATTAGATGGTTTAAAGGAAACAGGAGGAAAATCAACAGGAACCTAAAGGCACAATCCACGAAGACAGTCACTGCACTGAAATGGATAGTGTTTGCACACAAGAGCACACTTCAGTATAGGGATGCTTGGGGATCTTTTTTTTGCTCACATTTGTGAATGACCCAGCCTGATTTGCACATTCTGAACTAATACACAGATTGGAATGCACTTACATTTTGATTTTCACACTTCTTTGAATTTTACAGAAAAATTAGGCTCAAAAATGCATATGAAACACATTTTAAGCTAAAATCCGTACTTTTTTTTATTTGTGTGTTCAAAAAATGCAACATTTGTATATTTTTTTAACACATACATACACCAGAATAAGGCGGAAGGAGAACAGAACAGTTTAATAAATGTACATGTGCAAAACTGACACAGAAGCAGATTGATCTGTTCATCCCTATTTCAACGGAACTTGCCTGCACAAAAAAAGTTCTGGTGGATTGTGTCTCATATTACTTCTACTAATGCACACTGGCGGAGGAACAGGGGGGCAGAGGGAGCAGACTGCCCCCAGCACAACTATTCTGGTAGGGTGCCATTGCAGTGAGCCCCCCCCCAGGACTCGCACCGTGAACCCTCCCGCATGCCCCCACAGGCAGTGTGCCATGCCCCCAGAACGCACGCCACGCCCTCGCAGGTGGCGTACCACATCCCCAGGATGCTGCCACACCCCCCCCGGGGTGCCAGTCACGCCCCTGCCTGCTCTCCACCCCTGGTAGCTGAGCATGCAGCTTCGCCACTGCTAATAGATGGGTGGGAATATTTCCTTTTGCTCTGAAGAAGAAGAAAATTATTTTCTAATGCAAAGTCTCCCAACATTCTGGAATAACTACAAACCAAATTCATTTTAAGTACTGGTGCCCTGAATATACTAGTAACCCCGCCCGCCCGCCCCAGCACTACCACCTGCAACTGGTACCTTCAGAATGTTTCCCTCAAAACCTCGCTGTTTACCTTGTACCCGTCCTCTGAAATCTGAAAGCCTTCTGAGTCACTTTTCCAGTGCCATCCCCCTTTCACTGCTTGTTCCGTGGAAGATGGTCCCAGGCAATCAGGAATCCCATTGTGAAGAGGATGGAGCCACTGCCAATCAAATTTATCTATGTGAAAATATTGCAAAGGCAATTTAGAGTGAAGGTGGGACTTGTCGCCATCACTTTTATTGGGGCCCAGCCCCAATACAGAAGAAGTCATTCTGTAAATACTTTTGCGCCTGTTTGCAGCCCCCTCCCACAAAATGCAGAGAACATTTTTGTGTGGCAGTATGAGTCCAGGCCATAAGAATGATAGGGGGACATAGGTACTCAATAAAAAGTGAGAATGCAACTTTACATTTAATTATGACTAAATTTCTATATTGTGTTGTATTCAGATATTAAATGTCATAGCATGCCAGTTCTCATTATACATCTGATCCCCCCTTTTCTCCTTTTTCCTCTTAACTCCGAACAAGGTATGTTGAAAAGGTCAGCAATATCATCTGATCAGAATTACCAAAGGCCAATTTAATTATTATTTTCAGTCAAATGAACTTGGAGGAAGGTGGTATTTAAAGTCCTATAACCAATAGAGTGATGGTGCTTCTTCAACCTTTCACAATGTGCAGTAGATGCTTTTCAGCTTGTGTAGGTAAGCTTAGCAAAGATTCTTAGCAAAAGTTGTAAATTAATCTGAACTATAACCTCTTCTTAATTTGTGTGTGTGTGTGACAGGAGCAGAAATGAGATGCAAAATTTGCCTTGCTTTGCAAATCATAGTGAAGTGACAGTAGCCCTAGGAAAGCAGAGACAGGATGACACTTCGATGATAGTCCCTAACATTCCTATGGAAATGACTGTGGCATAATATTACCCTTATAAAGCCTTGTGCCTCCTACAACCCCTAATGGAAAGTTGTGACCAGGAAATCAGATAACTGACATTCATCCTACCACCACCATTGCACTAGGTTATAGAATCTACATTTTAAAAATAGGACTCCATACTGATTTTACCTGAGGCTGAGCAGATCACTGAAAGGGTAAGAGAACAGCTTTAAAAAATCCTGTGCAATTCTTGCCCCCCGCCCCTGTATTTCATCTGCTTTCCCAAGAAGGATATAGTACACTGTTTTTTTTGGGGGGGGGGTTGGGTTTTTTTGAAGTTTTAAATTTTAATTTTTTAAAAATTGTACACTCTTTACATCAGAAGATTTTACAACCAAAATAAACCATAATACAAACAAGAACATGACTTTGCTTTTCATTCATGTTAATCTCCTTCTTTTAACTCCTTGTTCTTAACCTCTTAAATCACATATATATCTTTAACAATTTTCCAAATGCTGCTCTATACCTCCCTCTCCCCATTCCCATTACTTCCCGTCACCCATGTGCGATCTTCTCAACCTAATATTGTTTCTCGTTGTGTTAACAAAAGTTTGTATTTGTTGTTCCATACATGTCATGTTATCATTTTGTATCCTTGTGCA